TCATCTAGGGCAGCGTTTGAATTGGACAATGTCCGAGTCGATGACGAAGTTGGAAGATGATGCAACCGTTGTGCCGGCCGGCGAACACCCAGTTTTGTCAGCCGGTGTCCGGCACGACCGGTAGAACTTGAACTGGGCGCCTAGACTAGTCCAGTGTCTTTGAATTCGATTTCGTTACGTCGTACAATTGACTCACCTGGCACCCTGTTACCATGTTCCTCTCGCGCCTCGTAATGACTGCAAAACAATTTTCCACATCTGCCGTTACCAGTTTCCCAAAACTCAAGACGCACAGCGGTACAAAGAAACGGTGGAGAGCGCTCAGCAATGGCAAGTTCAAACGCGTACGTATCAATCTCCCCGTTCCCCCATCTATCTCGTTCAGCTCAACGACACGCGCAGGCACACGCAGCACACGCACATTTGAACGTCGCTAAGAGACCAGGGCGTAAGAACGCACTCTGCCAGACGGCATATTCCAGCGGAGCGCAGACGCCGACTTTGAAAAAACTTATGCCCTACGCCTAGCTTTACTTATTCTATAGGTCGGTTCCTTGTTTTGAGCTGGAGAGCATTGTACTCATCACCTTCAGATACTTTGTACCTCTTATATAATCAACATCTATTTCATCAAGAGTGCATGTCTGCGATACATGACACTTATTGATGACATATGTTTGTCGGCATTCCAGTTCCAATTTGCATGACTGTCCCATAGAGCAGGGGATTGGTCGTCCACCTACTATCACAGGTGGTCTCCAAATACACAAGAAGCACATCATATTCGGCGAGGAGTGATACGTAGAATTCAGGAAGCAGTGAAGTCACTGAAATCACTAACGCCTTAATAATTTTATGATTTGAGCCTGTACAGCTCGAAGAACAAGAATGCCCAAGTACTGGTTATGAGGTTGGTTGTTCGCGCATGTCAAAATCAATACAAAGCTGACAGCATCAACTGTGTGATGGATCTAGTATTACAAGTATAGTGCATTGCGCACTGGCATCAGAGTCTGGGTCACTATCTATATATTTGCATGCCCACGACATTCTAGCCTGATGGGTGAGACAGTGAGGAGGCGCATGAGGCGACAGACGCTGAGCACTTGGGGCGTGGAAAGTGATGTACTGGAGGTGCCTGACGATATTGTGGAGGCAAGTGGGAGAGGTGAGATGTTTGTTTACTCCGTTTGAACCCATTCCATCTTTCATGACACTCTGGTGTCATTCCGGCAGAATGTGATGTAGTTAATAGACCTCCGATGATTAGGGTGGGCGAGATAATTTTCAAAAATCACAGATGTTCTTATAATATTTCACATTCAAACAAGAGGTAGTGTCATTAATGAAGCAGCCATCTCATTAAGAGTGTGATGGAGGTTGCATCAAGAAGTGAGGGAAACCTTAATTTGTTCACAGTGACTCTTTGTTTGTCATGGAATTGCTTATCCCTCTCTCCAGTAAGCTTGTGAAGTAATTTCTGTGTCAGTCCTGGTTGCAAGAAAGTGTAGACACAGAGATGCTGATGCTGATGTGTTAGAGCAAGCTACATTTAGGCAATGACACGGGTATACCTGTGGGTGTCACCAGTGTCACCCGCACCCGTACCCGCAGATATACCCACACCCGTGATGCGGGTGTGGGTTTTATGGTGGGTTGGTAGGTAGCGCACCCGCGGGTGCACACTAACATAGTTGAAAAAAACAAAATGTACCTACAATTAATTCAACCTTATTCTATCCCATCCATCCTCAAGTACCTCATCAGCATCACCATCAATGTCGGGCAATGTAGCGACGTTCATAATGTCTTCGTCCTTGACAAGGTTCAAACAGCTCCAAGCGCTGAGGCAGAGTAAGGCATGTGTTGACTGCGCAGACAGACGTGACCGAACATGAGTTAAGAGGAGCCTACCGCAGCTGAAAAGACGTTCAATATCAACTGATGTAGCCACCAACAGTGTCAGAACAATCTTTGATAGTGAAAAATTAGATGTACCAGGTATTGTCAGATAATCGAGTGCCATCCACGAGAGACACGGATAAGATGAGTGGTGCTCATGCCACCACATGATAGCATCAGTAATGTGCTCAACATCAGCACTCAGGTAACAGTTGAGCTCATTCCTTAAGTCGATGGATTGGGGTGGCACGAGCGCTGACATATGGTCAAATATATTCTAGAACACAGTGAGTAGTGAGTGGATGGAACAAAGAAAAATGAACCTCGCATGAAGAATCCACTGCCAATTGAGCAGGCCCGTCAATCACCATCTCAAGAGCATTGTTGTCTTGAATCTCCATGTCCTGGTAGGACTGCTCAAACTCATCACAGACCAGGGTTTCTGCGGTGTTGATCCAATCTTGCTCCCAATCAGCGGACTTGAAATAAGCCGGTTTATGATGAGGGTGCAGGACTAAAGAATAGTCAGTGTTCATAGGGATGTGGTAACTACTGAGTGGGATGAAAGAACTTACTCATGGCAATCCTGTAGACCTCTGATGTATCAGTCAGCTCATAGTATCGGTGTAGAAACAACAATACAATGAGGAACAAAAGATGCTCCTGACTGTATCTGTAAAAGTTGTAAGGTCGCGCGCTGCCTAGTCTGCGTTACTTGAGAAGCAAGTGCGTTCGACCCTATAGGGGAAGTGAGTGCAGCAAGGATCTAGAAGTGTGCGCTTAAGCGAAGCGCGAGAAAGCGCAGGAGCGCGCAAGGTACAAAGGCGCGGGAACGCGCGCGCGTATTAGCGCGAAGCGCGGGAAAGTGCGCGCGCGTATGCGGAAATGAGAAACTAAGCTTAAGTAGTGATATAAAGCAAGATAAGAGATATAAGAGTGCAAAATGTAAAGGAATAGCTTTCTACTATATTCTGCTAAGTAGTAAGTGGGTAGTAACTAGTAAGTGAAAAGTAGGAAAAGTAGGTAAGTAATAGTATGTACTGCTGGCGCTTATATAGCGCGCCTAAGCGCGGTCATGCGGAGCCGAAGCGCTACCGAGTAGGTATGTAAGGATATATATGAGTGAGAAACTATGATAAAAATAAAGGTGGAACTATGCTAATAAAGGAAATGGAAATATACATACTAGGAAGCTTGGTGGACAGTGGATGGATGCATCTGAATGGCTGGCGCTATAGGGCGCGCAAGCGCAGGAACGCGCGCGCGCGTATACATCGCGAAGCGCGGGAATGGTGCGCGCATGGCGCGCGTTGCGTGGGAAAGCTGCGCGTCATATAGAGATAGCTGTGGGTAGCGCACAGAATGACGCTGCGAGTTTGTGCTGTATACTTCCTAGTGAAACCTGCCATATCACACCATGAGACACACGAGTCTCTACATCGGTCCAAGGTCTTCTTTGCGAGTCGAACTGCTGTGCAAATTGATGGAGAATATTTTGTGTCGCGAGAATACTTGGTCATCTGGGTGTCGATTAAATCCATTGTGGGTATAACAGTTGGAAGATTAGGAGTTGATTGAGAGAAGAAGAGGGTAGCATCCTTTAGAATCTTAGATGCTGGTGAGCATGTTTGTGTTTGCTTAGTAAACAGCCATAACACACCTTCAAGACATCACAAAGTTGACCAGCAATTTCCCACTCACTGTCAGCAACCTCGAACTTTCGCAGACCCAGCTCTCTTCACTGTGTAACAGCATTGATTGCTTTCTGATGCAAGACAGCATACTCCAACATGTCATATGTGGAATTCCAACGAGTGGAGACATTGCGAGGCATGTTAGTTGGCGACATGGACTGATCAACGAGGATCTTGTGCCAGGCAGGCAGGAGGAGTGTTGTGGAGTGTATGAGCTTGTATGCGAGTTTGCACAACTGCACAACGTCATGGTCAATTCACAGGTGAGTTTGTATAGATTCTAACACACCTTGAGAAGAACTAACTTCACGGGTCAAATATTTGTTCGCAGCTCTGCAGCTTGGGCCTCTGGCAACAACAGCACCTCAATTACCCATCCCTCATTGTTATCTGGCAGGTCATCCTCCGACTCGTTATACTGTGCGACCATCTCCCTGTCTTCCTTCTCAATGTCAGCACTCAGCTCGATAAGCCCATCATCTTTGGCGGCATTCTGATCCCAGGCATGTTCAGCATCTTGCTTCGATACATCAAACTCGTGTATCAGGGACTTTGCGACAAGATTCACGGTGTGCAAAAAACACCTGGTGTGGCTCGCTTCTCCTGCAAACTCGGGAACCAACATCGCAAGCTTGTCGACCATCACATTATTGTTCGATGCATTGTCGCACGTCACACTCAACATCTATTTATCAACGCTTCAGCATGTAAGTTTTTTCTACTGATTTAAAACATTACCTTCTCTGATATATTGAATTCTGTTAGCATATCTGCAAAGACAGCTGCAAGCTGCTCTCCAGTGTGAGACTAGCAGTGGTTCAATACATGAACTGTTCTTGATGTAAGTAATCAACGTACTGTGGCGACTTCGATGATGTCTAACGGAAAACTCAGGGGGACACCTTTGTACTTGAGATGTACTGCAAACATGACAAATGCACGGTGGTTCTCTGAGGTCCAAGCATCTGTAGTAACACCCACGAGATACCTACACCCATGACCCATGTGGGTGGTTGGTACCCATGACATTGCCTAGCTACATTACAACTTCATCAAGGTAGAAGTCTGATTCTCCAGCAAATAAGTATATGCACTAGGAGAACTAGTGGAGAGAGACACTCAGTATGCATAGAACAATACTGAGGTATGCTACAGGCTGATTGTAGCAGCTCAGCTACAGATGTTGTCAGTTAGGTAGATGCTATATACAAAGGTGTATGGAAAGCTGGAGCACCATGCTCATTTGATCAACATTTTTGATCATGTGCATTGCCTTATAAGGTAAAGAGCTTTAACAGGACTCCTGACATGCCTCCAAACAAGTATTTGCATAAATAAATCAGACTTCAAGTAAACCAAACAAAAGAAGCAATTCAAGATACACTAATGCACTAGGCGCCAATGTCACCATTCATCCGTTATGCCATCATTCTCTGACTCATCATTTGAAAATTCCCAAACTATTAATGCCATATGATCAATGCCCACCTGGTTTTCTATAGGACTGTCATCCAATGGAACATCAGGTTCTCCAAGCTCGGCTAGTAGAGTATCTATGTCATGGATGTGTGAAACACCTGTGGTCTCATCAGCATATAATTGATTGAAGGGGATCTGCATTGTACTAAGGCCCAATCCTGCACGCACCCCACCCATGTAGTACATGCTGTCTGGTTCCTCGTCGAATGGTAAATCAGCATGGCCACCAATCAATGGCAATCCACCAGTGGCATCATCTTTATCTCCCACTGGTAGTAAGTCGGGATGTGGGTTTTCTGCAATCTGTACAGCAGAAAGAATGTTCCTGTACACAGTCCAAACTGATGACCGAGTGACTGGAGGGTGTCCCATCGTGCCATAGCAATGTTGGATAAAGTCGCAAAGCATAGGTGGGACAAGATCAAATATTGGATGGGCAGTATTAATGTAGAAATTTCAAACATAGTTGATGCCCTTGTGGTCTATAGTAACCTAGTTGGTATTGTAAGTCTTCACCGTAGAAACAACAATACAATGAGGTGTGAACGATGCTCCAGACTGTATCTATAAATATTGTACGGTCATGCATTGCCTAGTCTGCTATACTTGAGACGACAAGTGCGTTTGACCCTAAAGGGGAAGTGAGTGCAGCAAGGATCTAGTAGTATGTGCTGAAGGCGATACTGGTTGGCTAATGCGAAGTGCAACAAAGCACAGGTGTGCGCAAGGCACAAAGGCGTGGGAATGCGCACACGTGCTGTGCAAAGCGTGGTAAAGCACATGTGTGTATGCAGAAACGAGAGAGAGTAAGAGTGAGTTTGCTTAAGTGATAATATGATGTAAGACAAGAGATGTGAGATGCGATATGCCAAAGAATAGATTTCTACTGCGACTTTCTAGGTAGTAAGTGGGTAGCCAAAACTAGTTGGTGAAGTGGGAAGTTAAGTAATAGTATGTACTGCTGGTACTTATATATGGCGCCTAAGCACTGTCATGCGGAGCTGAAGTGCTACCGAGTAAGGTATGTAAAGATATATGTAAGTAAGGGTCCATGATAAAAATAAAGGTGGAATAATATGCAAATAAGGGAAACAGAAATATATGCACTAGAGAGCTTGGTGGACAGTGGATGGATGCTTCTGGATGGCTGGCGCTATAGGGTGCTCAAGCGTGGGAAAGCACGCGCACATATACATCGTGAAGCACAGGAAGTGTGCATGCATGGCGCGCATTGCACAGGAAAGCTGTGCCTCATATAGGAATAGCTGCAGATAGCACACAGAGTGATGCTGCAAGTTCGTGCAATGTACTCCCTAGTGAAAACTGCCATATCACACCATGAGAGGCATGAGTCTCTACATCGCTGTAGAGACTCGTGTGTCTCATGGTCTGATATGACAAGTTTTCACTAAGGAGTACATAGCACAAACTTGTAGCATCACTCTGTGCGCTACCCACAGCTATCCCTATATGAGGCGCAGCTTTCCCGCGCAATGCACACCATGCGCGCACTCTTCCCGCGCTTTGCGATGTATATGCGCGCGCGCGCGTTCCCGCGCTTGAGCGCCCTATAGCGCCAACCATCCAGAAGCATCCATCCACTGTCCACCAAGCTCCCTAGTGCGTATATTTCCATTTCCTTTATTAGCATATTGTTCTGTCTTTATTTTTATCATGGATTCTCACTCATATATATCTTTACATACCTACTTGGTAGCGCTTCGGCTCCGCATTACAGCGCTTAGGCGCGCTATATAAGCGCCAGCAGTACATAGTACTACCTACTTTCCATTTTTACCACTTACCTTACCTTACTTTACTTTCCACCCACTATCTGCCTAGAAGAACATAGTAGAAATCCATTTTGTCTATACTTTACATCTCTTTTCTCTTATCTTGCATCATATTATCACTTAAGTCTAACCTCTCTATTGTTTCTGCACGCACACGCGCTTTCCCGTGCCTTCGTGCCTTGCGCGCACCTGTGCTTTCTTGCGCTTCGCTTCAGTGCGTACCTCTAGATCTTCGCTGCACTCGCTTCCCCTTTAGGGTCGAATGCACTTGTCTCCTCAGGTAATGCAGACTAGGCAACGCGCGACCTTACAACATTTTTTAGATACAGTTAGGAGCTTCATTTGTTCCTCTCAGTATCGTTGTTTCTACATTGTGCTGAGTTGCTTATGCAAATATAAATACCTTAAAGTCCAATGCTCCAAAATCTCAAGGAGTTTCATATATGAGATTCGGGACACTGCACAGGAGTACCTAAAGGGATTGTAAGTGTACAATGTCACAAGACAGAAACAAATAAATTACCTTGTTGCGATCACACCTCTTGGTGGTATTGTTCACTCGGTCTCTATAGTGTTCAGCTCCTGCTGCAACCAGGGTATGAAAACCCAACGAAAGACCATCCTAAACAAACGACAAGACATTAGCAGCACATAAAACCATAAGACAGGTGCTACGAACATGTGAAGGGTATTCCCTGAATCATACTAGCCTTCAGTGACCCCTTCATCCAGTAAGGTCTCAAAACCAGGAGTGAACCTACACCAGAGCTGTGACCAAGTGATTTCCGGCATTACATTTTTCTTTGTGCGCATCCAACAATGTTGCAGAGTTCCTTGCAGGGTTGGGTCATAGCACTGGCGAAGAAGCATCTGTATGTTTGCAATGCCATAATTTTTGGTCCCTAAATCAGATTGAGTGATCAGTGGCATATCTAGCACTTGTATCAGTGAAGTATTTACAAAAATTCACAACCAAGTTCTGCGATTGCATCAAGGTAGTAGCTGAGGATTAACTGTGGGTTCCTGTTAGAGTGCCACACTTGAATCCACATGATGTGCCCTGAAAATGGCTCAATTCCAGTGTGAAGACCAAGCTCAAATCTCAGCCATTTATTGTGCTGGTCAACAGCAAAGAGATCATTAACACTGGCTGCCCAGAAGCGCTTCTGTTTCAGTCTTCTGGCCTTACATTGCCGCACTAGTTCCAGCTCATAGGCAGCGAAGTAAGACATCATGACTGACCTAGTATAGTTGAGATGTAAGTCTTGAACAAACTGATCAAACAGACAAAATCACTTAGCTATGCTCATATTCTTTTCATGAAAGAGCAGACTAATCATCTCTTGTGTTCCAGCATGAGGGAACATCTGGCGAAGTTCTGTGACAGCTTCATGAATGGTCTCTATAGTGTGACCCTGCTGACGCGAGCGTTCAAGGCCCATGTCCACATGAATTTGATGAAACTTTGTCAGTCTAAGATAGATTTTGAGTGATTGAGTCGGCTAATCATAAATATTCTACACACCCAATACCGTAGTGTTCTGTATTGAAATGTTTTTGCAAAGCCTGTATGATCTCTTTGTTGTTGAGACATGTCTTCCAATAGTGCAGTATATGAGGCGCAAGCTCATCTAAGGGGGCTACATTGAATTTCAAGATCAGAGAGTAGCATTGAAGCAAATGTGCCACACTTATGTGTGGGCTTGTGCTGGTTGGGCATGATAAGAGATGCAGGACAGTGTGGTCCCAGTTTACGATGCTGTTATATTTATTGTCTCTGTAATGTAAAGCCTCTGCTTCAACTTTCAACTTCCAAGGTACATTCACAGGTATAACACTTACCTTGTTCTGACTTGCGCAGTCCAAGTCAAGGACTCAAGGTCCTCAGATATCACATTCAACCTCAACTTGTGAGGTATGTTCATAGGTATCACACTTGCCTTGTTCTGACTTCAAGCTGCGCAGTTTAAGGTCCTTGGATATAACGCAGAGGTGACTTGGAAGTGTTACCTTTCTGTTATTGACTTTACTGATCAGGCTGCTAGGAATATCTCACTCTGATAGGTGAGGCTTTATGGTGCTCTCACCTGGTATGAACTTTCTTCTTCCCATGCAAATCACCTCTTTCATGCTGTTGTAGAGACTCATGCCTCTCATGGTGTGATATGGCACCTTTCACTAGGGAGTCCATTGCACGAACTTGCAGCACCACTTTGTGTGCTGTCCGCAGCTATCCCTATATGAGGTGCAGCTTTCCTGCACAACGCGCGCCATGCGTGCACCATTCCCACGCTTCGCGATGTAAATGCGCGCGCACTTTCCCGCGCTTGAGCACCCTATAGCGCCAGCCATCCAGAAGCATCCATCCACTGTCCACCAAGCCCTTCAGTGCATTTATTTCCATTTCTCTTATTAGTATATCATTCCACCTTTATTTTTATCATGGACTCTCACTCACATACATCTTTACATACCTTACTCAATAGCGCTTCGGCTCCGCATGACAGCGTTTAGGCGCGCTATATAAGCGCCAGCAGTACATACTATTACGAGATTACTTTTATTTCACTTTACACTCACTTACAAGTTACTACCCACTTACTACTTAGTAGAACATAGTAGAAATCTATTTGTCTACACTTTGCATCTCTCTTCTCTTGTCTTACATCATATCATCACTTAAGCTTAGTCTCTCTCATTTCTGCATACCTGCGCGCACTTTCCCGTGCTTCGTGCAGCACACACGCATGTTCCCGCGCCTTCGTGCCTTGCGCGCACCTGCGCTTTCTCACACTTCGCATTGGCCAACCAGTAGCGCCTTCAGCGCATTCCTCTAGATCCTTGCTGCACTTGCTTCCCCTTTAGGGTCAAACGCACTTGTCTTCTCAAGTATAGCAGACTAGGCAACGCGCGACCTACAACATTTACAGATACAGCCAGGAGCCTCGTTCGCGCCTCGCAGTATTGTTGTTTCTACACCGTCCTGCTCCTTTGGTATGAACATTCAGATAACAGGGTGCTCTGACTTACTTACTTCTCCCCATGCAGATTGCCTCTTTCATACTGCAAATAATCTCCGGCAGTTGGCTTTGGGAAGGGCCTGCCGCATTGAGACGTGACCACTTAGAGAGACACTTTGGCACTATGCTCAATTGTATTCACAATTGAAATGCAAATTAGGCTATCTATGTGAACTACGTCACAAACCTCACACCACTTTCTCTTTCTTAGATCGCCTCTTTTGTTCATTGGATCACATATTGCCTCTTTCACGCCACAAACAACCTCAGGCTTCTCAGCTCCATCCGGCTTCACCACTTGGACATAGGTGAGGTTCATTCATCGGATCACAGATAGAGGCTCTCACTCATCACTGATGGTCTGGTAGATGTTCTCATTGGCTACTCTCAGGTACGGCCATAGGTATGGCCATAGAGGCTCTCACTCATTCTGAGTAACTGACGGTCTGGTAGATGTGGTCTTGGTGCTCTGCGCTCTGGTGCACTCCTTCACCACTCCAGCTTCACTCAAACAACCTCAGACTTCCTTCTTGTGCTTCAGCATCCTTGAACACAGGTGAGTGACAGTATTTAATGTGTTGCATCCCGCATTGAAATAAAATTGTATCTCATCCCTTCATCATTACAGCTGTTTTCAAAAATATGCGGAATCGCAAAAGTTGAAACTCGTGCGTCGGAAATGTCCGGCCAGGACCCCATAAGCACTTGAGTAACCAATCCAGCACCAATTCAGAGTGCTTTGCTGAAAGACAATGTCGTCGCCATCACCCTCCGTTGAGATACCTCAATTTAAGGCTACATTCATTGTCCATCTTGATACATACACAAAGACTACTACTGAAACTAATGGCAAAGCAAAGTCCAAGGAAGTCAAGTCTACAAAAGTCAAGGAACTTGTATTTCAAATCTCTGAGCCCAACTACCTCGAATTTCTGACTATCATCCTCGCAAAACATGACAAGTCACAATACAGGGTTACTGAGAGGAAAAAATATGGTTTCAAGTACCTTGTTGGCAATTCTCGTGGGTAAGTGATCTTCGTGTCATCCATGAGGCTTGATCTTATCTCAGTGGCTTTTTGTAGCCGCGTCGAAGCCATGGATGTTGACAACAAAGAAGATTATGCGGAGATGGCAAAGAAGCTCATCTCTAAAGAGCCTCAAAAGGTGAAAGTCTTTGTTGACATGAAAAATGTTGAGAAACTCCCTGTCTCTACTGCTCAAAATGAGGTATGTGGTGACGAGAATTGGTTGTGTAATTGTTGTGGCTGACAAGAACAGACTGCAGGTGATATGGCAAGCCAAGATAGCGGAGCATCAGATGATGAGATTGTAGCTGTAGACTGTACTACTGAACTTGATCGTGAAATTGCTCGTTATCGCAGGCTTATCATCAAGAAATGGGGTAACAGTTATGATAACTCTGTCACATATGTCCACCAAAGTGGGATGGAGATCCCATGTACACCAGCAGTGATAAAGGACTGGGCTCGTGCAATGGTATGTGTCTACATCTTTGCATTGTATGCTTATCAAGTATGAACTATCAAGTATGATGGGGAAGCTACCACCACTGTGCCACCCAATATCCCATCTTTCGACCCTGCAAAATGCGAGCCTGCTTTGCATCCGATGCGCCGATCCACTCTTGTCACTTCGACACCTGCATCCACATCAATCAACAAAACTGACATCAATTCACTCACATCTATGCTCCTTTTGCGAACTGTGCAAGACCTCGCTCATGAGACAACTACCCCTTTGACACCACACCCAGCTCGAGCTCCAACCTCACTCCCTGTACCTGGAATCATATCATCTCCTGCACTGACACCTTTGATGCTCACTCATTTTTGAAGCATGCTGAGGACCACCTTGGTGTTGCATTTGCTACAACATACGAATCTTCGCTACGTGGTATTGGTGCAGGGCCAGATATACTTGCAGAAATGGCTGACCAGGATCTCGTTTGAGTTGGTCTCAGTGCAGGTGATATTATTCGGCTGAAAAAAGGCAGTATTACATGGTGGAATGACCCTCTTGCAAAGAATACAGCAAAACAGCAACGCAGTGATACCTCTGAATCAAATGTTCCTGAATCGAAGAAATTCCAGTATGAGAGGAGATACCATGATGGGGGACGAGCACGCATCAGTGGAAGTTGTATGAAATGTGATGAACGTGCACCTGGTGTGTAGTTATATCTCAACTCGTCATCGTCACACAACCTGATGAGCAGTCAGACAAGCAACCAGAACTCAACTATGATCTTTATTACTTCTGCGAAAACAGGCAGAGTTGGGTTATCTTCCCTCCAGGGTACACTTTCGAGTCTGAGGGTGAGCGCGAAGATGCAGAAGATCCTTTTATTTAGAACTACAACACAGTGGAACAGCTATGCAATGTATCCCAAAGCATGGAAATATCCTTCTGCCTTGTCAGGTGTGATGCCTTGGCATGCTCGTACTATGCTTGTCAAAGACTTGTCCTCGAAATGGGTGTAGATAAGCCTTGATAGACGAAAAGGCTTGTTCAATAGGGTTATAGTCAGGTGAGTATGGAGGCAAAAATACAAGCTTGCACAAGGCTTCTTCCTCAACAAGATGACGAACTTCATCACTATGGTGAATGCGACAATTGTCTAAGACTAGTACACTGCGTGGCCCAGGGTATGGATTAGTCAAAGGCAGCTATAGTGAACAATCAGTCAACTTCAAATCTATATCACGTTCATGAGACTTACCACATGTTCACGCAGGAATCAGACGAAGCGCTCACTCATGACTGGTCCTTCGATAATGTCATAGGCAATGATCCCATCAAGAGTCAGGATTGGCAGGATCGAGTAGCGTTTGCCTCGCACGAAACATTTCCTTTGGACACACCTTGGACAAAATGGTCATTACATACCAATAGAAGCAAAGTTTGACGTACCTTGTTCCAATTTTTGATCTCCCATGGCGTCGAATGATTTGTTCTTTCATCTTTTGCAGCCTCATCTCCAAACATCAACATTTCTGGGTCAGGGGCTATCTCAGCAATACTATTCATGAACATAGCACGTATGTAGTTCCTCGTTCCTTTCAAGAGCATATGCCGAAATACACTTGCGATTGACATGCAGCCGACGAAATGTGCGAAAAAGCGTTGGTATAGACACAAAAACACCATGGCGAGAGCACAGTTCCTGTTGCAGCTCATCAAGATAGATGGTAGGACGATGACGAAGGATGGTTGTAATGAATGCGATGTCGTTGACAGTGAGGCTGTGACGCCGGCCTTGATTGCTGCAGCGGTACTGTGAAACTAAGGGAAAAAGTTGTAAGACTTTGTATACGAGAGTCTTCTTAACCCCAAGCAGATGGCATATATGCTTGACAGAATGCCCACGTCGACGTAGAATAGGAATCCGAGCTTTTAAGTCTGCTGAAACAGTGTGTGGTGGCATACTGACTATGATGGTGAGCGCTGAAGCGCTGACAGCACACTGTAGTGCCTCAAGTGCTTGCGGGGTCCTGGCCGGGCATTTCCGACGCGCAAGTTTCAACTTTTGTGATTCCGCATATTTTTGAAAACAGCTGTAATGGCCTCATATGAACTTGTGTCACAGTTCACTGAAGATGCATATGCCAAAGAACAATCAGTGACGAGCTTCCAAAGCTATTCAGAGAGGCAAATGTGTTATACTGGGTGCGTGCATTGCTAACATTTTCATACGAGTACATTGATCATTGTGTTTCCAATTTGCCTGAACCTCTGCCCTTTCATATCCCTCGCTTGCACTTCGTTGAGGCTGGTCTCGCGTTATTGCATGATCATGCACAACCTGGCCACAAATCAAAGTCACTGACCATACCTTGGGCTGGGTTCCTTGTCAAAGAGTTGATCACCGATGAATTCCTCAAATATATCCATAACATGGATTGCAACCTGATGCTCGACCCATACGAGGTTGGCTATGAAATCACTGCATTTTTAGCTTGTACACAACATATACAGTACGTCAAAACCAGCGGTCTTGCTTTCATCTCCGATTATCAAGGTATGCATCATCATGTCAGTCCTATGTATGACCTTGTAGGCTGATTGCTCCACTGCAGGTAGTTGGGAGATCTTGTCCGACCCTCAAGTTCTTATGCACCTGTATGTGATTTTTTCTTTGGCTTTACAAGTGTTACTTATGTTCCAATGATAGCTTGGTCAACAATGGTAAGGACATATTTGGGGATGGCAATGTCGAACAAGCAGTTAGCATGTTTGAGAAGGTGCACCATTGCACTGATTACTGTAAATGGAGTGATTTTAAGCTAGAATGTTATAACATAGCAGTGCTGGAGATGGTGATGGACTCAGAGACTTCTGCACAAGATGTCTTGTAGTATATTGCTTGTATTTCTTGGTTCACTGTCATATTCTTGGTCATTATGATCTTGGACTTTCACTTGTTTTCCTCGATCACAATGTAAATATTTGGTTATTTCCAACTCCCATGGTAGTGGAGAGTGGCAGTCGAAAAACACTTCATGGGAGTGTGGTAGTTGTCAAGCAAACACGAGACATTCCAAACACCATCATGGATATGACAAAACGGGATCAGCTCATGGCCAATTTCCTGATATCAAGGTATGCTTCAGAAGTCTGGAGATCCTGATGGTGACTGAAAAAGCAAGCAGTGCATTACATTATGGCACATTAGCATAGAAATCAACAATGACCTTAGTGTAGTGTGAGCAAGGGCGAACATGCCCGATTACAGTTTATTTGCTCCAAATATACAAATGAGACATATGTATAATTAGTCAGAGAATAGCTGAAGGATGAATGAAAATTGATGTGGGAGGGCCCAGCCATCAGGAATGACAATGATTGTAACAAACTGCATCTGGATTCATGTGAGTACAAGGAGTTGGAACAAAAGTGTCCTCAAGTGAATCCCCAGAGGGCAGAAAGAGAATAACAGAATACAGAGGCTCGATGCCTAAGGAACCACCAGTCGCTGAGGCCATCATCTGCAGGTGGGACACTCAAGTGGCACACAAAGACATTGGAAGTAGAAGGGATAAATGAGAACATGAACAAGAATTGATGTGGGAGGGATACAACATCAATTGCACCCACTATCATCAGATCCAAATATGGTGTCATAATTGTGGAGTCGGGAACTGGTGCACATGCACCGCTACGATCAAAGTATTATTTGCACAGCATACAAAAATATGGTGTTCAGGTGTTTGGGGTCTTTCCACTGCACATGAGTAAATACGCTGACGAAATGAGCACAGTGCTCCGGCTTTCCATAAAGATGGTACTAACTGTTGTTTTGAGTGGCACACGAGCATGGGAGGAGGAGAGCTAGACAATTGAATATATTATCTCAGTATTGGGAAGAGACTTTGCATGTATGTAGATAGTCACCTAGACAATTGAATATATTCTAAGGGTATATTAGCTCATATGAAAGACAAAGGAAACAATATAAGGCTTACATCTCAGTATTGGGAAGAGACTGAGATATGCACATGGCTAGAACATTGCTTTAAACTATGGGAAGACGGGGAAAATAGGAAAGAAAATAATAATAAGTTTGAGACCTTTTGGCACTTGGCTGATGTCACGAATGGCTGCACAATGAATGCACCTGTATCTTTCATCCTGATGTCTCTGTGTCTGCTTCTCCCGACACTAACCTCAGCAGATGTGTGAGCAAAGCTATGAAGTGCGTGAAGGAATGAAAACACATAGGTACTTAGATGAGAAAGCAGTACTAAGTGACCATACTAGTAAAGGTTTTAATATCCAACACTCCCCCTTAAACTGAGCGAAATCTGAGGGTGGAGGCAAAGTGTTTGACCAAGTTAAGACTAGGAAGAGGTCTGGCAGGTGTATCAGCAATCATGTCATCCATAGGACAATAAACGAGTGAAATAGAACTTTTGTCCATACAAAAACATATGACATGGTATTGTATATCAATATGCTTAGTCTGAGTGTGAAACACTCCAGACTGAGCAAGCGCACTGGTGGACTGGTTGTTGTAATACAAAGTGGTAGGACAGATAAGCAGGCGAAAAATTGTGCTGTTGAAGCATCAAAGTCAGACAGCTTCTATGGCAGTGTGTGTCGCTGTGGTGACAGCAATCCTGCTGAGTAGCAAGGACAATGTTGGATCTTGCTATGTCTAGCTGTGATGTTAGAGTAGACAGTGTTCAACCAAGAGAATCTCTGTCTAGGCTCAGGCTCAAGAAAGAGGGGAAATAAAGAGAGTGTGTGAAAGAGGCACTCCAAGCCAATGACAGAAAACTGTGTTCCAGGAGCTAAATAGTGAGCTGAAGAAGCTACAACTAGGGAATGCTACTAAATAACCCAAGTTAATGGGGAGCAATCAAGAACTGGAAACTAAGTAATGACTGTAGAGTCCTAGGTGAAGGTAGAAGATAATCATGTAAGCAGTAAAAGTGTGAACATAATCTAAGGAAAGTGTCAGTAAGAGATGCTACATAAAAAACCATCATTTTATGCTCAGTGGGAAGTTGAGCTTGACATTGCTACAACATATTCAACCTCCATTGTCGAAAGAGTTACAAGCTCTTGATTCTTTGACCCCCAAGATACTGCTCCACCATCCAACAAGAACACATAGCTGGACACTGCATGTCTATGCTCCTGTGATGCACTGTCTGCATCAGTGAATCCCTTGAGTCTTTGTCTGGAGCTGCCAAAGGTGAGTGTGAGTTTCTTTGTACTGATGAGGTAGTGGTAGATGTGCTTCACAGCATCCCAATGCACTATTTCTGGATTTGTGCCAAATTGCATGACAGTATAACACTCAAGTTGGCACTGGGCACATATTCTGTCGATTTCACATATTACATTTCCTCAATATTTTTCTGATTTTCTGAGAGTTCCACACATTTGTCCGAGTTGTCCGAAGGTCATCCATCTAATTCCAAAGCCTGTTTAGCTTTTCCAATCCTCTGTACCATGTCCTATCCTTGTCTGTTTGACTTCACTAGGTGCGTTTCTCACTTGTCTATCAGTTATTGATTATGTTTAGGGGCACATACATTGAAAAGCCTTGTAAATACGTATAGATATGCACCCCATGCATTATTACATGCATACCTCATAGCAACTCGCCTTGAATCTTATTACATTTCGGATAGCTTATCTTGCTACAGTTTTTGCCTATGCAGGTTCCGGACTTTCACATTGTAGGATATAATCTGGCTCACTAGTTACTCGCAACTCACTTCACTTCCCTTGCTATGAGTCATAGTTAGTAGAGTCACTTTCGGATATTAGTACTTCATGCAATTGATCTCTTTGTTCATTCAGAACGATTGTTTGGCCTGATCGCTGCCATTTTGCTTATTTTCCTCAAGTCTTTTGATAGACTTTGCATAGTTATACTGCACAAGTCCTATACTTTGACATACCCACCATATTTATCCCCAGAAACCTCGTTGTTTCACCAGAAGCTCTTCGGAAGCTTCACGCAACCTTGGACCTTTGTTTCTTGATGTCGGACCTCATTCAGACACTTCAGACCAACACTTTGGACACTTCAGACAATTCTTCGGAACTCTGAATATACTTGAGGTATCTTTTCCTTCTCTCACCTTCAATCTTAACAAGATAATCCCTTGCATTTTATATCAAGAGATAGTTCTATAGGCAGTCTCTTTGGGATGAACATCTCACTTGCACATTGAGTCTTAATTGTATTTAGCAAGAATAGTTTCAATATATGTCTCATGCAAGAATGAGATGGTGCGCACAACATGGTCACATGTCACCTTCATGCTGAGGAGGGAGGCAACTGGTCCCAGATCTGTGAGTTTGTAATGTGCAGCTACTTGCTGCTTGAACTCAGTAATGAGTGTGTCATTGCTGCCAGTGACTGTGCAGTCATCAACATGTGCAGTGAGAATGAGAATATTGGGGCCGATATGTTTATAAAACATACCCCAATCCGATTCTGTGTGTGTTAGTCCTAAGTCTTTGAGGAGATAATATAACTGTTGGTACCATTTAAGAGCTCCCTGCTTGGAGCTGTAGGGCATGACATGGAGGCATGTGATAGGGTTTTTGAATTGAGAATTAGTGTGGAGTTTAGGAGGAAGTTGGATAAAAATGATCTCATTGGGGTTGAGCTTGCTGTTGAGGAAGGTGCTATAGAAATTGAAGACATCAATATCCTGGTCGTTGTGTGCAGCAATTGCCATAATGGTTTGGAGAGATGTGAGATGTGCAACAGGTGCATATGTGTTGCAATAATCAACACCATGTACCTGTGAATAGCCCTTGGCTACCAGCTGGGCTTTAGACTTGTCTATCTCTCCATCCACATTTCATTTGATGTAGAACACCCATTTACATCCTACAATGTTTACTCCCTGTGGCTTTTTGACTATGGACCATGTACTGGCATCAATCAATGTAGTGAGTTCCTTGTTCATAGCTTTGTCCCATCTTGATTGATCATTTCTTTTTCTGGCTTCTTCCAACATTGTGGGATCTGTCCTTCCAAGTAAGTACAACACTGTAGGGACATGTACCATTCATAGCATGACTATAGTAATTAATCAATGAAAACACTGTTTTGATATCCCAGTATGCTTGATGCCTCCGATAGGTAGTTGCAGGCTATAGTTTTGTCAAAAACTCCTGGTATTAGATTCCCCACTTCCTACCTGCTGTCCAGGAATTACTGTTTGTTGTATTTGTATCACTTTTACTTTCCTTCTGAGCTCTGGCCTCATCAGAAGCCCTTGAACTGAACATACTACTCCTCTGTACATGCCCAGCCCATATCTTTCTTCTACACTGCCTATATTAAGAGTTTGAGAGATGAAACCGGCACCATATGGTGAAAGCACAGACTTACCTTAGAGAATGTAACCTGCGGGGGAGTATAGTCACCTAGCTATTGAGCTAGGAGTAGGTGGTGAATATAGTGAGCTTGATGAGGACAATGAAGAGATTTTTGTGATAGGTAGCCAGAGTAGAGGACATACTCTAAGTTTCTAACTCATTTGTTGTTCTGTTCCTTTACAATTCTCTTGGATCAGCATTACAACAACATA